GATAGATAGATAGATAGAGTGCATCCATATTCGTATGGTAAAAGGATGACAGAATATTGGTTCAAGTTTGACCATCTAATTCACAGACTAGTGTGAAGAACACGTGAAGGATGAAGTCTGGACAAACACCTTTCAAGCAATATACTGTAATTAAATGACAAACTGTACTTAGTAATTGTCAAATGGAGCTATTGATCACCTGTAAAAGATTGAAGAAAGATTTTCCTTTGATCTGATGAGGTTTCCGTGTTAAATGTGTCCCAGATTTATTGCTTTTGAACACTCTTTCCGCACAAAAATGTGAAATTGGATCTCAGATGTTTTAGCCTGCAGGTCCGTTTAATGCCAGCTTCCAGACAGATGGAGCTTCATTTCAGCAATGAAAGCGCTTTTAATTCTCCTCAACATACAGTATGCCACAACAGCACCACAGTCAAATCAATGAAGTTGCTCAGGGACATCTGAGCAACAGCAGATGTGAACTTTTATTGACTTATACAATATTTAATGTATTTGTTCTGTAAGCCTATAGAGAGAGAATATGTCTTGATGTGAGAAAAAGAGGATTCCGGTTGTTTTAGCTTTAGTCTAAGGTCTGATTGAAGGCCTTATGTTAAACCACTGTATAGTATATAACACTATAGGACAAAGTTCAGACTGTGGCACTTTATAACCTTTACATTAATCACAATAAAAGCACAAAATTACAAATAACTCCATAAATAAGTCCTTCAGTCAGTAAGGGTCAGTAAGTAAATAAAGAAATAAATCTGAAAAGATCTAAGATTGTATACAATAAAATGAAAGACTAAAGGACTCACTAAAGAGATGAAAAATATGTATGATCAAATATAATTTTGTTGAATAAATATCAAAGGATTTATGAAGATATAATACAGTAAAAGCTTAAAAAAATGTTTTGGGTCCAAAAAGCTCACTGTGTGACTGTAGAATATTTAATGTATTTTTTTTACTGTTGTTGTTTCCCCACTCTGAAACTAATACTGATTTTTTTTTTTTTTAAATAATCATTAATTCCCAACATTGCGCTTTGTTGTTAACAGTTAGTGAAAATATATCTAAGCTACTGAATTATGTTTTTCAGTGCAATTTGATTGTGTTTCTAAACGAAAATAAAACAAAATTTGTTCAGACATGCTTTTCAGAAGAGAAACTAGAAAAAAACGTGTTTGAAAATCTACAAAACTAATTCTAAAAAAAAATCCTTAAAATTAAAGAAGAAAAAGAAAGCAAAAGAAAAAGCTGAGAAACAATCGCAGCAGAGCGCTGCTGAAACTGGTGATCTATAATACATCAGAACTGCTGCTTTAGTGCAGTGTAAAATAAAAACACTAATACTGTAGCAGTGACTGAGACAATTGGTGTAAGCAATATATTATTATATATATATATATTATATACATATTCAATATATTCGGTTATAAAATAAACTGTCTCTAGGTTATAAAATATTAAGTGGACTATATTTAAGGTATGATATATTTCAGCCACCACAGTCAAACAATGAAATAACGACCAGCGGCTGTTTCCCGTTCGACTTATTAACACAATCCCCCAAAGAGCCAAACCAGTGAAACATATTTTATATTTTAACACAGAGAAAAAGGAGATCTGACGTGCTGGATTATCATCGACTGCTTGTTAAAGGAAAGTTGAGCAACCAGCGTTATTCCGACTGTAACGTTGCGTCGCTGTAAAAGAGTGTGAGAGCGTTGTTTCCAAAAGGACAATTTAATAAAACTTACGCTTTATTTTTCTTTTCTTTTTTTCTGACAATACACATTTGAGAGTAAAACTGTTTCTCTTCAGTAATTATCCCAAAAACTATTTTCTCTGAAAACCTGTTTTTATAATCGCATTTTTTTGTTACAGTAAAATTATTTCTACATATTAAAAATAAATAAATAAGGATACATAAGCGATATAATGGAGTTTAAATAATATTTTGGGGAGGATGGCGAACCAGTTCGGCGTCATTACAGATTGGAGAGTGATAATTATTGGTTTTAAGCATGTCATTGAAACGGCTTCCAAAGCTGCAGTCAGCACAAATAAACCAGGCAGTAGGGCACCCACGTCCCAGTGAGCAGGATTAATATTTTATTTATTTACATTCAGCTGCAATTGTCATAATTATATTGAATGGCTGATTTTATTTCCCAGCTCTACCATAAAAACTAAAAAAAAGGTGAAATAGCAAAAAGCCACGTGGCTCCAGTTTGGTCCCAGCTTACAGTTTACTTGGAACAGCTGGAAAACTATACAGCTGTGATACTACAAAAGTCATTAACTACACACATCAAAAGTCATATCCTTCCGCAAACCGAAAATATTATTTTTCAGAAAACTAAAAAAAAATGTACTTTGTATTTAGCCGTTTTCAGGAGTTTTACAGAAGCGTTTACATCATAAAAAATTAAATAAAAAACAGTCCAACACCTGTTTGTCAAAGAAAATCGCCCAAAAGGTTTATTTGCATCGCAAACACGCAATATCTCATCAGCCCACAGAAACACTGAAGAAGAATATTTGGGATGGACATTAATAAATAAATATGGTTTAATTTGATGAATATGAGTTGCTATTAAGCGTATTCTATTACTGTTTATTTATATTGCTCTATTAGCAGTCACTCCCTAGGCCTGAGCCTTCAGGTTGAATAGTTAGTCCTCACTTGACATGTTGAATGTTAATATTTAAAAAAAAAAAAAAAAGACACTAAAGAGAGATCTGATTGGCTAAACACTTTAACTCACGGAAGCTGATTGGCTAAGTCCAAACCATGCTGGTAATGACTGATCCAGCCTCAGTTCCCCACAAACAGCAGAGAGGAGGTGCTTCCTCATTTATGACTCGGACCAATCTTAGAAAAGTGACGTAACTGAACACGGAAGCACATGAACAGCCGTTTGAGTGGGTGCTGGTGGTTCTCCTGCTTTATAGATCAGCCTCTGTCTCAACTGCTCGCATTTTCCTCCTGCATTGCACCCTTCCTTGGCATTTTTCTTCTTCTGGACCTGTACGTGTGTGGGAAAATGCTCCTTTGTTTTATGTTGGCCCTTTGGCCCAGAGAACCCAGGGGCCATTGAGCGCCCAGCTTCATCCTCCTCAGGGTAAACTGTTGTGACAGAGCACTCAGGGGCCCCTCATTAGCTCTCTGTCCACTAAGAAGCAAAGAAGCTGCTTTAATCCTCTCTGTCCTCCTCAATCTGGCAACACAGACAGGATTATAATTCCGTTTTCATTCTGCTCTCTTGTTTTACGCAGCACTTAACCACCTTTGAATCCTCAGTAGCAAAAAAGTGTTAAGAGATGTTAAGGTAGCATTAAGTAGTGACATTAAGCATTAGTTGAACTGGTTTAACTTTGGTGAAAACAGACATTTACGGCACTGTATAACTAGAGGTAACTATCACTTTGTATAAATTCGGGGCTAACTCCCTATAAGAGCATTCATTTCTTATAGAGGTTTTTTATGCTTGTTTAACTGTTTGTATCCACTTTAACTAATGATTCGTCATTTTATTCAAATAATTAATTCGGTCCAATAATTTTTTAGTAAGATGTCCCACTGCAATCCAAAATTCAAAATCTGCTTTAAAATAGAAACGGGGTGAACAGTGTGTGTGTGTGTGTGTGTTGTTTTCACAATGTTTTAAATATGTTTCACAGTAGCATAACTGCAGGAGAAATGTTTCCCAGGTCTTCAAATAAGGCAACTTTAAATAAATCTTGACATACACACAAGGCCTGTCAATGGGAATCAATTAGTTGGATTAAAATGTCTGATTGGTGACAGTATTATAGTCAAACAGGCTCCAGAACACCAATTTGTGCTAGTTTACACACACACACACACACACAGACACACATAGTTTTTTCTTCTTTTGGGAGTGGAGGTCATAAACAACATAGAATTGAAATGGCAAAATAAACCAAATACACTTTATTTATAAATCTTGAGTTATAATTTAATACGGTACCAATATGTTAACCAATATGCTTTCACAGTACATCAGAGTGGTTGTCAAAAAGAAGTAAACACAAATACACACTCTCACACACACACACGCACGCACACACACACTTTCAGTTCAGCAATACCCTGCAGTGGTCTATTGTGCCATAAAGCGGCCTGGGCTCATAAATGCATGACTTATAATGAAAGAGATTTGTTACTTGAACTGGGAAGTTGTGTACAGTTAATTTATCCCATTAAGAAACAGTATACATCAGGCCCAGTGCTCTAAAAATCTCTCTGAGACAGTCAGTGTAAAAGACCTGGAAACATACAGGAATGAGAAGTGTTTGGTAATGCATTAATCGTTAATCCAGTAAAATAATGTCATTACTTTTCCCTGAAACAAATTACCAGACCAAAGGAAACAGTTTGACTTCCTCGACATATAAAATGATCAGATAAACATACAGCTATCTAACATTCAGCCTCCTCCCCCGTATTTATTTCTGCCATAATTAGCCTTGTAATCATCTCTGTTTAGATGAGAAATAACAGAAAATTTGAATTACTGTGGCAAAATGTACTTATTTGATGAGAAATAAACAAGATGTTCTCAGCTTTTTGATCGTTCAAAAGAGATTTTTTTTTTAAAATATTGGTCAAAAAGAGTAGAACAGAAACTTTATGGCGAGAGGACATAATTACACCTGCCATCAAGTATTAACTAAAATATGAAAGACGTATTCATCTGAGAACGTAATATTATCTATGAAAGGAGTAACGCATTTCTTGGCGCAACCGAACCCTGATCACGAAAAGTGCATTTTCCAAACATTTTAGTTTTTTTCTCATTCATTGTATGTTGATAATGCAAATAGAATAAAAATCCAAAGTAATTAAAACAGCATTAATCTCACCGTTCTGGCTGTACACAATTGAGCAAATAGGTTAAAGTCAGATGATGATGGGTTTCAAACACCTGTGTTAAATCTTTCTGAAATGTTTCTTTAGTCCAAAGTGCCATGTCTGGAAGGTATATGAAAGAAAAAGAAAAAAAACAAAAAAACATAGCAGATCGACACAAGACAATCCCTGCAGTTTTCTCACTGGCCCGGGGCAAAAATACGTAAAACATTTAAAAAAGGAGCAAAAACATAATTTACAAGCACGATAAATATACACACAGGGTCCAATAAATATTGTTTGTTATCCCAAAAACCATAGATTGTGAGTGGTCACCACACTGCAAAAGATGTCCATCATAACCAGTCATCTCATTTCGTAAAACATTGTTTCTCTTTGAACAAGTAAAAAATTCTGGGGTCAAATTGTTTAACGTCGGCAAAACGGTCGAATTATTTCAGGGACCTTTCTAGATAAACACGGACGCAATGAGGAATAAGGCAGATCTCTCCTCTGGTAGGCTATCAAGAAAATGGCGGTTGGTATAAGAATACATGTGAATTGAGGTCATTCTTTTACATTGGAAAAGCCTGTAATTATCTAATTTCCACTGGCAGTTTTTTTCCCTTGTTCAAAGCAACAGAGATTTTACGGCGCACTGGAATGACTTGGTTTGAGGTGTGGGACCTTTTCCTGACCTTAATAGCACCACTGTAGCTTTTTTCCTCTATTGAATAGGCATGTAGGGCCAGTTGAAGCTGCTTCCAGACAGCAGCATGTCCCTTATCAGAGTTTCTATGGGGGTTTTCCCCACCAGACGGACGAAGAAAAGCTGCTCTATGACAGAAGAAGAGACGGTGCGGAGGGAAGGCAAGCGGAGAAGCAGCTTCCCAAACCTGTTAGGCTGGTTGGGATACTGGCTCCTCACGTACTCTTCTAAAGCACACTGGGATTTCTCCTGAAGACCCTCCACGTGGGCCACGTCCGACAGACCACAAGCATCTACAGACAGAGAGAGCGACAGCAACACAAAAACAGACAGGAGAAGAAGCAGTCAAGACCAGTGGTTCAACCATCGAAAAGAACACCAGTTAATGTTGCAGATATTTCACTAACTATGTTAGCACATAGTGACTACAGCCCACATAAGAAAGACAGAACGGATTAATGGTTGACATAGTGTTATATAAGTGAACTATGATCATCACAAGGCAAAAGACCACCAGAAACAAGAAACAATTATATTTTCAGACAACAAACATGAAATAATTTACTTTTGTTATTGTTAGTGTTTTAAGTTATTAGTTATTGCAATAAAGGAACTGGCAGGATTGCAGAGAGGTGACTCAAGTAGTTAATTATCTTATAATAAGCCAATTTGAGTAAGCCTGCTAGTAACAGAACAGTAGAGCAGGTAATATTTAACAATAAATACATCAGACGGTCAGACCCGGTAAGGTAATAAAGTACAGTACATGTGCAAAGGTTTCAAAATGTAATTCGCAAATAAGTAAAATCCCTAAATTTACACTCGGGTCAGTGCTGTGGTGAAAACAGAACAGCATGAGGGTGAAAAAAATCACCCTGTCATCGAGATGAATTGATACCTCATCAATCTCATGGAAGCAGGGATCAAAAATAGAGCCATTGCTCCCAGTAAAACCTCAGAACGAGAAATAAGGAAACTATCGATGTGTATCAGAGCACTTAGGTACTCTGCTTTGCTTTATAAGAGCTTTGCAATTACTATGTGTAGTATTTCTACACACAGCAGACCCCTGTCTGCACTGTAATGCTGCAGGCCGGATTGAAGTAGGGGTTAAAGAACGGTCTCTGTGTCCCAGTTTAAAGACACGTGTTCAGATGTGCTCATGGGGACTAAAATAGACCTACATAGGAGACCTTTTTTATTTTTTTCACTCTGCTGCTACTCATTCTTTTGATCCTGTTCACGATCCAGCCATCAAACATCGTCCTGACTCTTATTAAAAGGCTCTGAAATTTTGCAATGCAGTGGGGACCCACAGCTTCACTTCTTCTCTTGTACGAAATAATTAGTTATACGCCAAATTCAGGTGTAGCAATTTAAACATACAACAAAAATAAATGCATCTATTTTGTATTATTTGTAATTAATGTTTGGAGAAACGGGAATTATTAGATTAAAAACAAAATTTCTCCTATTTAATTATTTTAATGAATTATCTGATTTAAAAAAAGCAAAGTAATTTAAAGGCTACAAATGAACTTCAGTTAATTTAACCGCTTTCTATTTGGGGCTTAAAAATAATAACAAAGTGGTAAAAAAGATAAAACAGTCTATTTGATGAAGTACTTTGCTGATTCTTCTATGTGAAGCAACAATGTAAGAAAATATAGTATGCTGTCAAATGTTGAACACCCAGCCCTGTTTTCATTTGCTACCATATGATTCCTGTAAAGTGCTTTATATTTCTGCAGGGGTTTCGTGCAGTTTGCAAACCCACAAAAACTCACTGGCAGCCTCCTAAATGTTAGAATAATAACACTTCATAATACTGACAAACTCAACTGTGTTCCACTGGGGCGGACTAACTTTGTAGATCCTAGTCAGTAAAATTAAAAAGTAATTATTTCAGCTACAAGACTTCAAAAGAAAACTTTATTTTCTTTTTCTTTTTTCTTTCTTTTTCTTTTTTACTTTATTATGATTGTGGAGGTGAGTTCTGATCAAATTGAAATTTGTAGGAAAAATAAATATTTTGCATTTTTTTTACAGTGAAATGATGCAGACCATAAGGGAATTCTTGCACAGCTTTTAACGGAACATAAACCCAAAAGATTCAATTTGACAGAAAAGGGAAGCTGGTGCGCTTCATGGATTTCCTGGAAAAATATTCTGTAAAATGAGCTTTCTTCAGGGGGTTTAACCATCTTAGTATTTTTTTGTTTTCTTTTTGACCTAATTGAAGATTCACTCCGGTTCAACGGTATTTTATAGGGACGCTTTAAAAAAAATGTTTTTTTTTTTCCCCCTGATGCAGTCTTCTAAAGAGTGGTGTCTTTTTTAAACAGATCGTATTTTGTTTATACTGGTGGTTGTTTGTGTATTATCTTTTTATTTAATTTTTTTTTCCAGATCATGACTGTGGAGGTCAGAAGTCTTAATCTTTTGCTACAGGCACATTTCAGCCACAGAGAAGGGGATTGTACCTGTGGTGAACAGCACGATGGCCTTGATGCAGCTGTACTCTGCCGAATCCACGTGTAGCACCTTGAGCTTCTCCACCTGCTCCTGAAAGACCCGGATGTGGTCCATGAAGGCCACCACCCGGTCCGCGGACATCGGGGAGGCGTGGAGGCCGGCGGCGGCCAGCAGTGGGGCGACGTGGACGGGCATGGAGCACTGTGCGGCGTTCAGGACGAACAGTTCGCTCCAGGTGAGGCGGAGCAGGGCCACCTGGTCCGTCACCTGCAGGTCCGGGAAGAAGGGGATGTTGCGGGCCCACTCCACGGCGCTGAACAGCATCCGGGCCGCTAGCTCGCAGATGTTCTCGATGCCCATGATGTTGTTGCTCTGCAGGCACTGAGAGCCGAACCTGGAGGTCGGGTAGGGCTCGGCCCGCAGCAGGAGAGAGATGTAGCCCGACAGGTAGGAGTGACACTGCAGAGGGTCTCCGTTCGTCAGGGCGAACTGGCCGTGGTAAGACTGGGTGGGAAGTCTGCCTCTCTGGACAGCTGCAACCACACAGACAGCGCAAATGTCAAATCAAGCTAGAAGGCGATTAACTACAACACTCGACATTTAAAAACAACAACGGTAAAATGCAGAGGATGGCATGTATCTTTTAAAGAACCACAGATGTAAATTAACAAACACACACACACACACTGACACACTGACATAGGCCTTCAGCCATTAGAGTTCATTTCCACGGCCAGTAGCCTGTAGGTAGACTAGCTCTTCATAAATGGACGTGAGTAACTGTTTTAGACAGCTCCTGGAAAGAAATGTCACATTCAGCTCGGTGCCCATTGAAATCTATTTCCAGGCCAACGTGCAATGGCGTTTCCAGCCTGTTTGTAGGTCTCTGAAGGCTCTTCATTATTTTCCCAAATTGTTTCAATTCAAGACCAAAACTATACTCTAATAGTGATTTGTTAATATATTAGAATTCATGTATTGTGATTATATATATTGTGTATATTATTATTGTAATATATAGTCTATATTATTAATTATATATATTATTATATTACTAATATTAGCTACTTTCGCTTGTAGGCCTACCAACTTTAATAGTCGACTGAAACACCTGTGGGGTTTTTACTCTCCTCAATTTTTGGTGATGAAATCTGCGTTCAACTTTATTCAACTCTACAGTCCAACTGTTGTAGACACTCTCAAATGTCCCTCCGTTATGTTAGAAGCAGTACTATGAGGCTACAGTAGGCTATGCTGGGCCTATACGACCAGCATACGTTATGAATACGAGTAGACACACACACACACACACTAACACACATAAGAACATGTAGCGTAATCTACACAAGACGCCACGGACTTGAAAGCTACAATTGAAACGAAAAAATAAAATCGAAATTAAGCTAAAATGTAGCAAAATCACTGTTTAATTTAAGCACGTGACATTTAAAGCGGCTGCGGGCTGTTTCGGACACACAATGGCCACACAGGACGGACACAGCCGGCGAAGAGCAGCAATAATATACGTTACTGAACATGCTACGAGATGCTAGCTGGGCCACACTAATTTCTGTAACACCACAGGCGAGACACTGGAGATAGCCTAATAGGCTACAGAGACTAGTATCCGACACAATAGTCTAATATTAACAGAATATGAGTGGGAGGAAATATCTCTGGGCTACTGTATGAGGGACTAGACAAAGGCAACACTGATGGCCGTGTCCAGGAAGAAATTACACTAGCTGTACAAATGTAGCATGCACAAAACTCACAGCAGTCTACAGGACAGACATAAATACAGAGGGTTGTGTGAAACTGAACTGAGTCCTGAACCGTGTGGTGCTGGATAATATGATGTGATAATACCGATAGTAACAACAGGAGGACGCCAGCCCGTACCTTCCCTCCTCATGCCGACTTTGAGGCATTTCTTGAGGCGACAGTACTGGCACTGGTTGCGGTGGTGCTGGTCTACGGGACAGTTCCTGTTGGCCCTGCAGGTGTACGTGAGGTTCCTCCTGACGCTGCGTTTAAAGAAGCTCTTACATCCCTCACATGTGAACTGTCCGTAGTGCTTCCCGCTGGATTTATCCCCGCACACGATGCACTCGATCTGCTGGCTCTGCTGTTTGTCCATGGAGGAGGAGGAGGAGGAGGAAGAGGTGGTGGTGTTGTTGTTGTTGTTGGAGGCGGCGGCGGTGCTGGACGGGTTGGGCGGCGGTGCGCCCTGGGGTGCTGCTGCCGCCGCGGGTATTTCCAGAGTGGGCGCCGGGTTCATGTGTCCCGTCAGCTCCCCGGGCAGAGACAGAGGTGCGACCTGGGACACCGGGGAAGAGAGGGTCCCCTGGGTGTCCCCGACGCCCTCGGTGTTTCTCCACGCCACCATAGCCATATCGACCGTCTCCAAAACTTTGCGCGCCCAACTTTCCTCTTTTTACGCGATAATTAACGCACGCGATCTGTCTGCATGAATTACTAGTACACTTTCAAGGAAACCGCGGCATTGTTTGACTAAATTAAATACAAGTTACGGCTCGAAATGCGAATAGAGCTCATAAAATAACGGCAATATAATTATAACGCGCGACCTCACAAGTAAAGAATGGGCAGTGACCCACGAACAACCTCTGCGCCGTGGAAATCCAAAAAGAAAGCTTCATTCAGACCGAGATAATGCACTATAACATCCACAGTGGGGAAACATAAAGACAGACAACACTGAGCCAAAATCCTCGGAGGAAGGCAACGTTATCCCCAAAAATACACAATCTGATCCTTTCTGTCTTGTGTGTCCAGCTTTAAACGGAACACCGCTCGAGCAGATCCTTCATCAGAGATGGAGTCGCCGAACCAGGCTTTCCAGACGCTCCCTGCTCTCCCGATCAGTCAGAAGTTACATTAAAAAGACAACAGAGGAAGGAGAGAGAGAGAGAGAGAGGGAGAGAGAGGGTGATGGATGATGATTTTGATGATGCTTTGCTCCGGGACGGAGAAGGAGAGTGGTGCGTCCACACGTCACAGGCTGTGTCTCGGTGACGTCTGTGTTTGGGGCGGGGTTAACGCGAGGAGAAGCTGGTCTGTGAGCAGCAGCATGGGGCTCCACTTGGATTTCTGTTGTTACACACTACTGAGTGTAGCGGTAGTTCCTGCCTCCCTTTCCCCTTATCTTTACTGTATTCCCTCCCTGTGTTTCTGTGTGTAAGTGTGTGTGTGTAAGTGTGTGTGTGTGTGTGTGTGTGTGTGTTGCACCGGCTACTTGACTCCAATATTTGCAGTGATTCTGTGAGACACTTGACTCTGAAATATAAGGAGAGGACATACTGTAGCTCACACTTCATTAGTCTCACATGGGCAGAAGCAGCAGATCCTAACTGCAGTAATTTGATGCCACCTAGTGTCATTAGTAAATTACACAGAAAAGTACAGATGACTATAGGATGCATTTGCACTTGTACAGCTTGAGGAGATAAACTATACTATATTTTTAATGAACTGTCTTCATCGTGCATGTTATTTAAAGTGCCCAACCAACATATATGGATAATATGTTTTATTTACTTCTCACCAACTCCGGTGCACTTTTTCAAGCCTGACTGTAAGTTTCTGTACCACTATTTTCTGTTTTTCTATGTGTCTCAGATGTGCCCCTATTTTATGCTGTTTTCATAATAAATTTGTTTTAATTAACTGTTACATCATAAACTGACCAAATGTGAAGCCACTCACAGTGATTGACTCTCAGTTAAAGGACCAGTGTGTAGGATTTAGTGGCATCTACCTGTGAAGTTGAAGATTGCAACCATTTAAATACAGCCCAGCCTTCCCAGCGTGTAGGAGAAACTATGGTGAGCAGTATTTGGTTTGTCTGTTCTGGGCTACTGTAGAAACATGGCGACCTCCGTGGAAGAGGACCTACTCTTTATGTAGATATAAAAGCTCATTCTAAGGTAAATAAAACACAACAATTCTAATTTATAGGTGATAATACATTAATAAAAACACACCAATGAATATTATACTCCATTTCTGCCAAAATATCCTACACACTGGACCTTCAAGAAAGGAGGAATAATATATTTGTATCTGTTTGTCTCAATCATTTTTTTAAATTACAATGATGTAATCTTAAGATAGTTATATGTATAATGTAAGATCATATTTAAACACGTGTAGACGTAAAAATAAAATTTTTAGTAAATGAAAAAGTTATTACTTTGGCTTAAATTAATTTCTACTCTACTTAATTACAATTTTAACAAGAACATCAAGGACACTGTGGCACTGGTTTTCATCCCTGCTCCCACTGTTCCGTCTCATTGCTTTAATCAAAGATTTTCATCACATAGTCCACTCAAATGCCAAACATGAAGACCAAAAGTAATCAATGTTTTGTATAGCTATGTGTCATGTGTAAAATAAGTATCAAATCTAAATCTTAGTCTGATTTTAACCCTGCCCATATAATTAACACTGTATAAAGATTTAAAGAATATACTTAAAACCAAAGGCTCTGCCATTTCTGTCACAGAGGCCAAACACACTGGACTGATCATTGTGTTTTATCCTGTTTTAGACTTAATGTGTAGATGTCTCCTTCTAGTACTGAGACATATCTTATATTGATTTTTAATATAGTCTGTACAACACCGAAACCTACTGCATGTCACAATGCATGATTGAACCCACAGTAGAAACACTGCTTTGCATTTCTAAGGTCATACAGTATGTGCTGTGTTGTCCTCTTGTGCCTGTGCCATCTCCACATACTGCACTACTTTAAGCTCCTGATGTGCTTCTGCACCAATGTCACAAAGACTAATTCCTGTCCATTTTTTTTCAGAGATTAAATTATCTCGGTGGAGGCTCTGTCATCGCCATGTGAAAATGTCTGCATGGCTATATCACCGTTGACTCATGCAGCTCCATGAGTCCTGCGGCTGAGTGTGCCGTCACGTTCTTCCAGACGGCCAGCTTTGCAGTCATTCAGTGACTGCTCAAGTCAAACACAAAACAAGCTCTGCTCTGCCTGCTAACAAAACACATGGCTGACGTCCAAGACCAATCAACAGTGGAAGGTCAAGGCTAAAGTGTTTAGTGCACTGGACAGAGATGATTCCTCCACAGTTTAATGCACTGAACTTTTTCCTTCCCCGCTCTAGCGATGAGTCCAGTTAACATTAATCACAGATTTTGAGTTTAAAGTTGATAAATCTCCCCCTGTTTTTGTTGATCTGGTGCCCTTTAAGACTTATCACATGAGGGGAGCTGAAAGCTAGCTAATTGCAGACAAAATAAGGGAGAGTATGGCCAGGAGAGACCTGATGCGTGTTCAAGACCACCTGAATGTGAGAGTGTTTGCAGCACAGTGGGAGGCAACGATGATTTTCTACTCTGAGACCTGCAGCATTTTTTTAGGCTTCAGGGTAGCTATGTAGACGTATATTGTTGAATTACAGCTCTCCCTGTGACCACCATATGGTTATCTCTTAAATCCAGAGTGTTTTGTTAGGACAGATACAGTGGAAGTACTGTACGATAGGTCTGCTCAAGGTGAGACACTCTGTGATGGTCGAAACAGGACCACAGATTGATTGATTTACTTAGCTGAAAAATTACTTATGAAATTTAGAAATTGGTGAAAAAATTGGCTTAAAGTATAATTGAGAGTGTTTAGTATATTATGGTGTTCTCAGACAGTGCACTAGTATTCTTGGAAATCAGAGTAAATGGGTATGGTGTAAGCTCGTTATGTTAATGAGATTAATGGTTGTGATCTAAAAGTATTCTGCAGCCTTTCTAATATCTTCCGGCTGGTGTTTTGGCATAGCCTCAGTGAGCATGCAGATCGAGGAATGTCACAACCTGTAGGCCCCTAGGCCACAACAAAGTGAAGGAAACACATGGCTGTATGGGAAAATCAAACAACTGCATATACTAATACCAACCAAACCAAACAGAACTAATGAGTAGTGCATGTGGGAGAGCCAGCAGGGGAGTGTGAGAGAGAGAGAGAGAGAGAGCGCTGTGGGACAGCTGATCTTAAATGCATTCTGGGAGACTATTACTATCACACGATTTGCCTACCAGGACCTAAAGCGGAGGCCACACAACCTACAGGTCCACCCCCTTGAAAACAGGATGGTAAACCCCAGAATAATTTACAGTGACTAACAGTAAAGTTAAATTGTAACATGTATAGTATGGACTCTAAAGGGGAGCCAAGAAGGGTTATGGTCTGTATAAAGACCATCACAGACTACCACTGCATACCAATCCCATTTTTTTAAATGTATGGCTGAATAATTTGATTGGTGGCATACTTTCCTTATGTCAGTTTAACCAGTTATTATTTATAATCCTAATTATCAAAAAAAAACTGACATTAAATTGAGAAGTTTACTTAACAAACACATACACTTAAAGGTCCAGTGCGTAACATTTAGGAGGATCTATTGGCACAAATTAAATGTAACATTCATTTTCATTAGTGTATAATCGGCTGAAAATAAGCATTGTTGTGTTTTCGTTACCTTAGAATGAGTCGTTTTTATCTTCCATGGAGTCTGGCCGTGTTGAATCACCATGTTTCTTCAGTAGCCCTGAAGGGCAAACCTAACACTGGGTCTAGACAGGGCCAGTCGCAGCCACCAAAGATTGTCCTTCAGGCTTGGAAGGGGAGTGTGAGACTAAGGGGTTGAAATCTGCAACTACATAAATAAGTACATCTAACTAAGTTGGCAATTGTGTCATTCCCTTTATGGGCTACAAGGATATGAATATGACACCCACACAGGCCTTTTCAATTACCCTGGCTGACTACACCTCCAGTCAGAATGACAATGGGTGGAGCTATGCTGGAAATTACATGAGAGTTTAACTTTGTTTAGCTCTGACAGAGTGGATGTGCTGGTGCACTGTGGTTGGAAGTGGGGAAGTTATTATTATACTGTGCTCTGTCAATATATTTAGTACATTATCATACTACCAATACTACAATTTGTAGCTCTCATAGACTGTTTACAGTGTGTGATCCTTTGTCGGGCCAAAATTCACACAGGTAAATTTTGTTGAACAGAAACGTAATGTGACCACAGTGCAAGCTTTCCCTAAGAGGTGCAAAAAACTCACAGGAAAGTAGAAAGAATTGTAGTTTGTACATTCCCACTGAGTCCTGAGGGAGGCCTAATGAGGCAACATATGAGCACACTTGTGTGTGTTGACTTTATATATATATAATATAAAACATATATCTCTTTGACAAAAAGATTCAAGATTGAAGAACTTTAAAAATTAGTTCTTAAAGCCAAAGTTGGATCAGTCAAAGTTGGATTATAATAAAGTAAAGGTCAAAATAGTGCTGTGTATGTAAAGTAAAAGTGACTTTAAACAGTTACTTGTACTTTACCAAAATGTAATCTTTAATGTCATTTTCTAATTCACAGTCTCAAAAAACTGACAATGGTTGCTGTAGAGTAAACAGAGCAGGCACATTGT